GTCTGGGCGACAGTGAGACTCCAACTCAAAAAAAACAAAAATGAGCTGGGCGTGGTAGCGCGTGCCTGTAATTCCAGCTACTTGGAAGGCTGAGGCAGAAGGATGGCTGGAGTCCCAGCAGGTCGAGGCTGCAGTGGCTGGGAGTGGCTAATGCACTCCAGTCTGGGCGACAGAGTGAGACTCCAACTCAAAAAAAAAAAAAGAATTTGGACATATCTTGTGGGAAACACTATTTAATTACTGCAACATATCAACCTTGTCAAGTTGCTCTGATTTAAAAATTCTATGGGCTGGGCGTGGTGGCTCATGCTTGTAATATCAGCACTTTGAGAGGCTGAAGCAGAAGGATCATTTGAGACTAGGAGTTCAAGACTAGCCTGGGCAACATAGTGAGACCACATCTCTACAAAAATCACCCAGGTGTTTTGGCATGTGACATGTGACTTTAGTCCCAGATACTTGAAAGGCTGAGATAGGATTACTTGAGTCCAGAAGTTTGAGACTGTGCACTATAGTCTGAGTGACAAAGTGAGACCCTATCTCAAAAAAAAAAAAAGATATGGTCAGAGACAGTGGCTCCTGTCTGTAATCCCAGCACTTTGGGCAGCTGGGACAGGAGGAATGCTTGAGACCAGGAGTTCAAGATCAACCTGGGCAACATAGCAAGACTCTGTCTTTCCAAATAATTTTTTCTAAATGCTCTATTTTATGGAATGAAGTGTTTCCCCAAAATAAACAAATTTAAGTAGACGGGCATAGTGGCACACACCTGTTGTCTTAGCTACTTGGGAGGCTGAAGGAGAAGAATCACTGGAGCCACAGAGTTCAAGGTTACATGAGCTATGATGGTGCCACTGCACTCCTGCCTGGATGACATAGTGAGAACCTGTCTCTAAAGAATAAAAATAAGCCGGGCGTGGTGACTTATGTCTGTAATTCTACCACTTTGAGAGGCGGAGTTGAGAGGATTGTCTGGGTCCAGGGCTTCAAGACCGCCTGGACAACTTGGCAAGACCTCATCTCTACAATAAATCAAAAAATTAGCTGGACATGGTGGTGCGTGCCTATGGTTCTAGCTACTTGGAAACCTGAGGTGGAAAAACCACCTGAGCCTAGCAGGTCAAGGCTGCGGTGGCTATGAATGTGCCACTGCACTGCAGCCTGGGTAAGAGAGTGAGACTCCTACTCAGAAAAAAAAAAAAAAGAATAAAAATTAAAATGTTATGGGAATGTATGTAAGGTAGGTCGTATGGAGCTTGACACACAGTAGGTGCTCAGC